CACAGACCAACAAGTGAGAAGTGGAGCAAAACTAGACAGAAGAAAAGAAACCAACCCCCCAGAAGAGTAGAGACTGAAGAGAGAGAAAGTAGTGCAGGAAAGGGAATGAGCACAGGCTCATGCTCCCAAACCATCAGTTTGATGGTTGCTGCAGCAGATCCTTTAAGGACTTTTGCAGCTGAGCTGTGGGGATTGCTGGAAGATTAGAGGTTTATCCTTATAGCTTGTAACACCCTCCTTGTTCAACCACTAAAAGCTTTGCAGTGGCTCACTGGTGTTGCAAACACTGTTGCAATTTCACTTCATTGTGAGACTTGAACTCTTCATGCATCAGGCATGTTGTGGGGCTGAGAGCAAAAATGTCACCATTGCCGCGTCCTGCATTGCATCTGTACACTCTAGTAGGAACATTCTGCTTCTGCTGTCACACAGTGTTGCTCACTTCAGTCTTGCGTGGAAATACTGCAGCTCCTACGATTTTATGCACAGGAGTTTTCTTTTTCTGAAGTGAGATGCCTACACTTTCCTTATACAGAGAGGATGAGCAAGGGTAATGAAAGCCATTCATAGGCATAGTACCAGGTTTTTCTACAGGCAGTAGCAGAGGTACCTGAAGCTGCAGCTTTGAAAAACAGAGGACAAGGGGCTTCAATCTTCCATTTCTTCTGACAGTTTCCGGCAAAATCAGTTGGGTTCTGCTTACCCAGAATATTTCCTGAAAGTCTGGAAATGAATAGATCTGGCATTAAAAAGGTAGTATGTTAGGTACAGACAGACAAAGGAGTGCCATCAGGTTGAGTGTGAGGCCTTCACAACCTTGGCAAATGACAACTTGCACAAACTGCTGCCTGTGGTTCTCAGCTAGGAACTAAGGAATTGCAAGAGGATGCATGTGGCACGTGCCTGCAGGCCAAGCTCTCTGCCTTCCGATTAGCACCTTGCATTCATCCCTCCAACTCCCCCAAATATTCCTGTTCAAAGAGGTCTGTATGCCCCTCATTTATCCTTCCTCATACCAGGTTCCCCATTTTCCCTTACCACCTGTGGTTCAGCCAGCACTCCCACACCCTTTATAATACCATTCCATCCTTTTCCCATGTCACTAGCTCTGTGTTCATTTCTGTTCTCTTCCAGCCCCCCTGGGACCCAAGGGGTCCACCATCCCTTTTAACTTGACTATACGCAAATTACTCTATCCTCTCCCCTTACCAGAATCCCCAAGTCTTTCTTCCTTCAGTCTCCTTTCTTCCCCTTCACATTGGGGTATATTTTCTGCCCTTCCCCTTGTTCCTTTATTCTTCCTTTTGCCCAGCAGGGAAATCATTCTGGGCGTCTGCATGTTAATCTCTACTGGGAGAGTGGCCTGAGTCAAGATAAAGCAATTGTTGTGCTAGAAGGCACTGGTTGCTACAACTGCTTTTTGTGATCTTCAGGCAATTGTACAATTGGAAATTGTGCTCTGCTTAAAAAGAGGAAAAGGGCTTCATGCGTCCCACTTCCGAGATTCCAATTTTCCCCCAAATCACAGGGTTCTGCCTAATGATGTATAGACCATCCGCTGACATTTTGGAATTGGTTAGCTGCAGCTTGTGGTGAGTGCACCCATTTTACAATGGAAGCTCAGTGTGTAACATGCTGAATTGTTTTATAGAAAGCACACTCTGTCCCCATTATAGTTTACTACTTTCTACCACTATTGTAAATTGAAACGATTCTATTCTCTCCTGTGGCTATAATGATATGGGAAGGTTATGCATATGTAGGGACTAGAACAGCAGTAAGGGGAATAAGAGGGGGACAGGAAAAACTCTGGGATTAGGAGAAGCAATGCTCCTAAGATATCATGGAGAAAAAGGAGCACAAAAGGAAGAATCACAGAAGGAGAAGCACCAAAGGAAAAAGCATCAGGTGAGGAGGCAGAACGTCACAGAGATTTGGAAGAAATTAAAATAGAAAAGGAGAATGGCAAATTGGAGATAACAAAGAAAGAACAAGATAGAAAAGAAAAGGAAAGACAAATGCAAGGACTACTCTAGGCTTGCCCAGATGAGTTTGTGGTGCTATCTTACATCAAACGAATGTATTGATCATTACTTTAAGCTAATGAGTAGGAGTGGAAATGCTAATCTAGACACTCGGTGAACTTTGTTTTTAAACCCAGAACCTCCTTTGCACCACACTTATGCCGTCACTTACACCAGTTGAAGCAGAGTGTAAAATAGGCAGAAAATTCATAGGTAGTGTTTTTCACTTAATATGCCCAGGTACAAGTGACTGCAAAAGATTCAGGGCAATGGCAGATCTAGTTCTTTGTTTCTGTTTAGGGCATGGCTACCTGAATACATTGGTGTGACATAAGCTAAGATGTGAATTTATAGCTCAGTGGCTATAAATTGCAACAGCCTCCAGGCATGTTCTGGCTCCCATGGTAAATACAAGGTAACTTGTCCCTCAGCCGAACTGCAATAAGATACCTCATGTTTCCTGCAGAGGAAGAGCGTGCGTGTGGGCTACATTTACAAAGTACCTGACACACCGTCTGTTCACACCCTTACTTCCCAGTATATTGTTTTTTTTCAGACCGGAGCAGCGAGCTCAGCAAAGTTTGAAGTATTACTTACTATACATAAGGCACCAGCAATGTTTTAATTACCTTGTCATCCAGCCCTCTAGAACTGAAGGGATCAACATGGTGCTTAAGAGAGTGCTGGCTTCCAGTATACCACATGGGTCCCAGTATTACTGGAGCTGATGCTGTTGAATTTTTGCAAGGTTTTCATAAGGCTAAAATCCAGTACTTCCGGCAGGCTTTAATCATTGCCCTTTACCTCTCACATTCTGTCTGCAATATGCATTTTATAACGCGCTGTATCTGGGAAGCACTTAACAAGGTTGACCTGATGAATGGGGGTTGTGTGGGCATTGTGGACATGGTGACCAGAGTAGGGGAATACTGCCATTTTATTTTACCCATTTGACCACCTGTAGGTACCCAGTGGAGCATGGGATAGTTACATCTTGGGCAGATATGGAAGCTGTATGGAAGAATGTCTACGATAATGACCTGAAGATAGCGGCGAGTGAGAGGCCAGTACTGTTGACTGAGGCACCACTAAACCCACTCACTAATCGAGAACATATGACTAAAGTGCTCTTTGAGCGCTTCCAGGTACCAGCCATGTATGTGGCTGTCCAGGCTGTGCTGGCTCTTTATGCTTCAGGCTTCACCACAGGCTGTGTGATGGACTCTGGTGACGGTGTCACCCACATTGTACCAATCTTTGAGGGCTACTGCTTGTCCCACGCAGTTCTGCGACTAGACGTGGCGGGCCGTGACCTCACAGACTACCTGATGCGGATTCTGAAGGAGAGTGGTATCTCCATGGTCAGCACAGCTGAGAGAGAAATTGTACGGGACATGAAGGAGACCCTGTGTTACGTATCCCTGACCCCACTGGAGGAGATGACTAAAAAGCCTGCCGAGGTGGAGAAAACATACAGGCTCCCCGACGGGCAGGTCGTTAAAGTCCATAATCAAACGTTCCGTTGTCCTGAGACCCTCTTCCGCCCATCAAACATCGGTATGGAGGCACCAGGGATTGACAAGCTCTGCTTCAACTCCATCATGAAGTGTGACATTGACCTGAGGACCTCCTTTTTCTCCAACATCATCCTGTCTGGTGGTTCCAGCCTCTTCCCTGGCATGCCTGAACGCTTGCACAAAGAGTTGGTTCGCATGGTCCCCGCGGACACTGAGGTGAAGATCGTGGCTCCCCCTGACAGGAAGCTCTCTGTTTGGATGGGTGGCTCCATCCTCTCTTCCCTCTCGGCCTTTGAGAAGATGTGGGTCACCATGGCAGAGTACAGGGAAGTGGGGCCTAACATAGTGCACAGAAAGTGCTTCTAAAACCCAGGCGTTTTTAAGGAGATGTGGCCAAACGTGATAAGAACAGAAAGGCACACTGCAGTGATAAGCCCAAAGCACCGGTGGCTTATGCCATCAAGTATTGCTTTGTGAATAACTTAATAAACCAATAAAACTCAAGGTGTGCTTGTTCAGGGACACTCCTTCACCAACAGGTCCTAAATGGGCCCGGCTTTTATGCAGATGCCTTTTCCCTAGGTCAGCAGCAAGCAGCTGAGATAAAGCAGGCAGCATGGACTGAGGAAACACCATCCCTGTCCCACGCGGATTTCTAATGGAAATTGCTATTTGCCAAAATATCTTGCCAGGCAGCAGCATGGGCTACTGGTGCCACCTTAGTCAGGGGGGGCATATCCTCCCCCCAGCGACCAGTCAGCGATGAGGGAGAGGGTCCCCCATGGTCAGTCTCGCTGACAGAAGCGGCTGTGGTGCTCCCGGAAGTGGTTGCGGAGCTTGATCCAGCGCTCCCACTCCCTGGCCCGGGCTCACGGGAGGGGGGGGAGGGGGGCTCCAGCCAACCCCCGAGGTTCCACTGCGGGGCGGGGCCGGGCGCTTCCAATCCTCCCGCCAAAGCGCCGTTCCCGCCCTCCCGCCAATAGGAGCCGAGAAGGCGCGCCGGCGGCCAATGGCGCGGCGGGAGGGACGGGGCCGACGAGCCTTTATAAGCGGCAGTTGGGGGCACTAGGGGGCAGTGCGGCGGCGGGGCAGGGGGCGGCGCTTTCACTCTAACCCTAACGGGCGCTGGGCCGCTCCCAGCGTGCACGCGCTGTTTTCCTCGCTGACTTCCAGCGCGCGGCGGGAGCAGGCCGGAGCCACCAACCAAA